GAGAGAGAGAGAGAGAGAGAGAGAGAGAGAGAGAGAGAGAGAGAGAGAGAGAGAGAGAGAGGGGTGCTTTTTTCTGGTTTTCCAGTTTAAAAGTCTGGGAGACGTTGTAGCTGTTTTTAACTTTGTCAATAAGTCCAGAGGTCACAGGACGGTGATATTTGTCTCCTCTGCTCAGCTGCTGGTCTTCACAGTTAAAGCACAGAACATCTGTGTGTTTTTTTAGAAGATATACAAGAAAATATCACAAAGTTTCAAGTGAAACTGAGTTTTGCAACCAAAACGTTTGACCTGTTAACATCTGTTGTGAAAGAGTCGTTACAGTAGAAGCAGGAACAATCAGGTGTGTGTGTGTGTGTGTGTGGGTGAGCTGGAATGTGGTGTGACTAAGGTGACACGCCACTCGTGGGGGGCGTGTCTGAGTTTCTGCATCTTCGTCCACTCCCACTAAAAAGAAACCAAAGGTCGTATTTTTATGCCCACAATAAAACCGCCTGTTCTTCTATTGTTGCCTTGTAAACTAAGCTCCATGTGACAATTGAGCAATTCAAAACCCCTTTGAAATCTTCTTCAGAAATCAACCCACTTTGTAGTGAGGATTTCCAGGGGATGAGCAGCTTTTCATTGTGTCTGCAGATACAGTATGTGTCAACCTGTTTGAGTGACACGCAGACCGTCTGTCAGTTGAGCCGAGGGGAGGGAGCTGATCCAGAGCTGATTGATGGGTGACTGTTGAGCGTGTGACAGCAGCAGAGGCGCGTGGCTTTTCTGGCGTCCAACCGGTCCGGGAGGAGAAAGAGGAGGAGCTGCTTGTTGACAGTAACTGACAACAGGATCTGTGTTGTTTTCCAGAGACAAAAAGGTGAAGCAGGGCACTCCACAACCAGGCTTATTATCAAGCTGATTCTGTGGATTCTTGTTGACTATACAGTTGATACACAACAATATAACAGTGTCAGTGTTTTTATTAACTCTACAGAACAAACACGGGCTTTTCTCTCTTTTTCTTTCTTTCTTGTGAGACCACATTGAAAGACTCACAATAAGGACTCTGTGATTTGCTTTCCATCAGCATCAGCTGTACTGAGGCGTACAGATCCTCCTGATTCCTCCTGACTGTCAAGATTTGAGCAACAGGCTGCGCTTCTCTCTCTTTCTCTCTGACATTTCCAGCAGAGTCAGTCAGGGCACGTTTGCATGAGGAGGGGCTGACGGGGAGAATGGAAGAACAGAAACTGGGGCCTTCGGAGATCAAAGGCGAGACATAAAGTGTTGATCTGAGCCAAATAATTGCTATATTTTGTTGTCGTCTCCTGAATTTTTGGCGATTTTTTTTCTCAGCAACAAATGCATAAAAGCTGCATTGTTTCTCATCTGCTGCTGGAAACGTTAAAGCAGAAGAAAGGAGGCTAAATAACTGAGTGTCGCACGTAGAACTAGATTCTTACACCTCCATATCGTCTGCTCTGACGGTTACCCTGATGTCTTTATTCACATCTGTCACCAAAAGCCCTCTCGCTCATCTTTCCTCATTAAACATTTCTCAAACTTTGACAGATCAGTTGCACAAGAAAGAACACGTGAGTTCAAATTGTTTCCTCTTCATAATTCCAAGGAACAGAATCAATGTTTTAATCTCAGATTAGGTTTCTTGAACACATCAGGTGGTTCCCAGAGAGAGAGAGAGAGCACATTGAGTTTTGTCACCATCTTATATTTGCAGCACATTAAGTTGTTTTGCTTGTATTTAAACACTTAAAAGCTTATTGTGTTAAAAATAAACACAAAAGTCAAACTGAAGTGATGGTTTTGACCTCTCAGGAAGGCTCTCGTTTTTAGATTATTTTTTATTTTGTTTATATTTAAAATCTTTATTGTTTATAATTGGAAATAAGGTCTGAATTTACCAACTGCAATTTCATGGTCTTCATTCTCCTCTGGTTCAGGGTCAGACTCTGGCCTCCAACATGTAAGGCTGGATGGACAAGTCTTCCCTTGTTGACATCTTTTAATTAACTTGTAAAGATAAAGTTCCTGTTCTGTTAGTCGTAAACCCCTCTATCAAACTAGAATGAACCGTTCTGGAAGCTGGAAGGGGGGCCGGTTGTGAAGCACCTTGTTCGGATTTAGAGACAGCCTCAAAATGAGTTGATCTGAGACACACCTTAGAAAAGGGGTGAGAGAGGGGCTTGTGGAGTTACAATAAGAAGGAATTCAGACCAAAGCATTGCAGTTTCACTTTATATAGACCCCATTGAGGGATTTAAATGTGAAAAAGACGGATTTGTCTCCTTTAAATGAACTAAAACAGCTTAAGCTTTACAAAACTCAGAATGTAAGTATTTAATCTGGTGTTTTTGTACTAATTTTAGGTTTAAATAATATTGTATTTTTATAGTTTTTTTTGTACACATTATCTGATTTTTAACACAGTTTGTGTCAGAACACTCAGTCATCAACCAAAGCTGCTCTAATATTTATAAAATAAGAGGTGAAACTGCAAATCTGATCAGAACAACAGCTTAAACTTCTACACAACAGAACAAGCTGCTCTCGTTGATTCCGCTAAATCTAAGACAGCTTTCCAGAAATAACTGAGCAGCCATGACGGTTTGTTCATCTCATGTCAGGCTGTGACCACGGCAGGTAGCTGGCTCTGTTACACGTCGCCCTGTGTGCATGGCACTTCCTATTTACAGTTTATTTTGTGCTGCTGGGGAAATAAAACAACTGAAGCATTGTGTAAAAGTTGGGTGTCGCCTTCTCGTATAGAAACATGAGAGAAGGTCACCTGAAAGATGGAAAAGTCTGTGGGGGTTTATTAATCCACTCTGAGGGAGAGGCTCCAAAAAGCTTTGATTGGAAGTGAAAACGGACGCTCGTTTCACCAAAAAGCTGCATCGACCGAGGTCACATTTTCCACCTCGATGCCATCACAGGATCATCCCCAGTGTGAGTGGCTTTTGTCAACAACACCGCCGTGGTGGCTCTGACTCAGTCCGGAGACATGAAGCTCTATAAATTTTCCACAACAGTGTATGAGATGCTGGAGGAACTCAGACCTGCTTCCTTATCCAAAGCAGGCACCTCTGTTTTTTTAGATGAATTAACAATATTTACTGTTTTCTGCCTTATCTTAAATATAACATGGTAAAAATCTGGTTTGACAAGGACCATAAAAATACAAAAAAAACAATTTAAAAAAAGAGTTCAGAGTATAATTTTTTTATTTAAATTTGTGAAATGTGAAGGATACTGCTGCCTTCTTTGTTATGTCTTGTATTAGTCTGGGAAAATAAGGTTCTGCATGCAAACTGACATTAAAAAGACCGCGTACATATTAAAGTGAGAAAATGGCAGAACAACCCTTTTATAAGATCTTAGAAAAATTGTGACATTTCTACAAAATTCCGTGTATTTCTCTCCTGTTATTTGGATAAAAAGATTCATTTCCGTGGTGCCGGTACAGCCTCTGCATGCTTTTATGTGCTTCTATTTATAACCTTTTGTGCGACAGGAAATTGGATTTGTCTCACATGTGGCACTTTAACAACACAAACATTAGTTTCAAGACGTACAATGTACAAAATTACAAAATAAATATTTGCCTCCTTTTTTCTGGTTTTGCAACAAAAATAGGCTCATGAAGCATAATGAAACATCAACCTTGGCACTTTTCTTTTAGAATAAAATGAGCTGGTTTTGTTCTTTTTCTAACGGTGCTGCTCAAAAAGGATTCATGCAGCAAAAAAAAAAAAAAAAAAAAAGGTTTTGGTCCAACATGTCAGCACTGCAACAGGGACGAGGACACTGTCTGCTCACAAAGATGAGCCGCCTGGACAAATAAGAATCTCTGAAGTTTATGTCTCTTCGCTTTTGGCCTTGATGTCTTTTTTCAAAAGGTGCATTTTGTTCTGTTGCTCATTAAAAGCCCACCTCCGCAGCTGATCCTGCTGTCTGATGTGTGGTGAAAGAAGATCTCCATGAGACTGACACTGAGAGGGATTCAGACCGGCCCGAGCTCATCGTACCTGCAGACAAGACGGATGACGAAAAATATCTAAGTGACGGCAAAAGATGACTTTGCAAACAGTGACGGTGCTGCAGCTGCTTTAACCTTCCTGATTTTTAGTTCACTTGAATTTTTCTGTAACCAAAGAACGCCCTTTAATGTATAACTCCAATTCCAATGAAGCTGACATTGCATAAAACATAAATAAAAAATAGAATACAATGATTTGCAAATTCTTTTCAACCTACATTCAACTGAATACACTACAAAGACAGGATATTTAATGTTCAAACAGATGAAACTTTATAGGTTTGTTGCAAATATTAACTCATTTTGAATTTGATGCCTGCAACACATTCCAAAAAAGCTGGGACAGGGGCAACAAAAGACTGGGAAAGTTGAGAAATGCTCAAAAAAATAACCTGTTTGGAACATTCCATAGATGGTTGGAAACAGGTGAATGTCATGATTGGATGTAAAAAGGGAGCATCCCTGAAAGGCTCAGTTCACAAGCAAGGATGAGGCTTGATTGAGCAAATAGTCCAACATTTTAAGAACAATGTTTCTCAACGTACAATTGCAAGGAATTTAGGGATTTCATCAGTTGTGACTTTAGTCCATTTTTAGGGGTGCTCAAGTGCCGTTTTTTTTCAGGGGCATCCCTGCTTATTTCAGCAAGACAATGCGAAGCCACATTCTGCACGTGTTACAGAAGCGCTGCTTTGTAGTAAAAGAGTGCAGGAAACTAGACTGGCCTGCCTGCAGTCCAGACCTGTCTCTCATTGCAAATGTGTGGAGCATTACGAAGCACAAAATACCACAAACGAGACTCCGGACTGTTGAGCAGCTGAAGTTGTACATCAAGCAAGAATGGGAAAGAATTCCACATTCAACAATTAGTGTTGTAAGTTCCCAAATGAGGAGCACAGTGGTAAATATACCTCTGTCCCTGCATTTTTGAAAGGTTTTGCATCAACGTCAAATTGAGTGAATATTTGCAAAAAAAACAACAAAGTTATTTGTCTGAACATTAAGTATCTCGTCTTTGTTGTGTATTTAATTGAATATATTGATATGGCATCCTTCTAGAAGGTAACCTATGACGGTCAAATATTTTCTACTGCTAACAGTGACCGATGTGAGTGCAACTCCTGGACTGGTTTAAACAGCGCCTGGCATTCCCAGATGGTCTCACATCCACGTAATAACCAGGCCTAACAATGTTTATCTTCCAAGATCAGACACAATCTAGCATGTTCAGAGAAGTAAGTTGGGGAAAAAAACTGCAAATCACCATTTTATATAAGTTTTACCCAACATCCCAACTTCACTGGCATTGGGCTTGTACAGTATTACCTAAAAAAGCAGGGTCAAAGCCAGCCATTTAAATCCCCACTTCTTTTATTACCAGCATGCTCATTTCAGTAAGGATGTCTACTGAAATGTAGGATTGCTTAATCTGTTTGTAAGGGTGCACTTATTCATGCATTTACATTTTATCAGACAGAATAATGATAAAAACCTTCACATCCCAAGCCCAAGGGTACAAGAAAATAATTGGGAACTTGAGATTGGAGCAGAGTGTAAATGTCTGGGGACAGCTCTGGCTCTCCATTGAGGTCTGCATATCGCAGGATGAATGCTTAATTACTGCCACGCTCTGACAGACGGGAGACGCAGCGACTCATCCAGAAAATAAAACTTGCGAGACTGAACGAGATAATGACCAAATCCGCGCAACAATAAACCTGCTGTACGAGTAAAGTGAGCTGCACTAATGAGATTCATATAAGTCACAAGTTAAAATCCACTTCTGGAAATGAAATCCTGTGTCTCACACACGTGACTGACTCAGACTGTAAGTTTGTCCTCGGTGACAAAGCATTCGTGTGAACCAGACACCGGCAGATGTTTCCATTTGGGACTCTCCAAACCTTCCCCGCAAATTATAAACAGCTGTCACATCAACAAGCTGTCTGCAAACAAGTGAGCTTGCAGTGTTTGCTGTGATTATGGGCTCTTAACTCCAAGATCCCTGCCTTAAAGTGCCTGTTTGGTTAAGTACCCCCGTGTTCGAGGTGCATTGGTAAGAAAGAAAAACTATTACCCTTGGATGCTTTCGGTGCTCCACAGTCTGCCGGTCTGTGCTGCCATCTCATGCTGGGCATCACTCAGCGGGGGGTTTGGACTCATTCAGTGTTTTTCTTAGATCCATTGTGTCGACCAGCGTCCTGCGGACACAGTCACGGACTCCACGGTTGCACAGAGAAAAGGGCAAAAGCTTCTTCGGGCTTACATTTAACAATAGTGTTCATTAACTTTCCCAACGCACATCAAAACTGGTGTTTAAAGTGCTTTAAACAGACAGTTACCCTAAAGATATTAACCCGTCAGCACTTGGTGACATAATCATTATTTAATATTATTCTTTAATTATAGGAGTTTGATAATTACTGCATATATTTGTCTTGTAGAAAAAAAATTGAAAAAATATAATAAAGCATGGCTTTGACATAATTTACTTTTTAACATATTAGTCTGTGCATGCAAATATTAGAGCCATGTCATATCTAATGTAATTATTTACAGATTTATTATATTATTTTGACAAAACTATATATATTAATTTGACAAAAACTGCTTAGAATGTATGATTAATGATACTAAATAATGATCAGTTCACCCTTTAGTGCTTGTGTGTTGCGTTGTGTGTTTTTATTTTGCCATGGCAGTTAGATATATGTGCTGACAGTATGTAGGTTACTTTAAAATCATGGTTTAGTTCATTAAAGCTGGTTGTTCATGTTGCTGCTGTTGAAGTTCCTCTCCAGATTCCAGCAGACTTAGACTGCACCGTCTTGAATAACAGCTGACAACAAGTCTCATCACGTCTTCTGCCTGACAGGAGGCCTCTCTAACCAGAACCTGAACCACGCTAAAGTCTCGGAGGCTGTAGAGCAGGACGAGGAATATCACCTGCTTGAAGGAGGACCTTGTCTACAAGAGGGTAGAGTCTCTTGTGAAGCAGATAAATGACATTAGGAATCGCCACGACAATCTGATCAGAAAAACAATGACTACCTGTGGTTAGCTGCAACTTCAAAATAAAAGCTCTTATATGTGTTAGAAATAAAATCAGACTTCCCCTACGCACTGCCTCCATTTTTATCAATATTTATAAGTGAATGAACGGCGTGTTTTAATAATGCATAGGCCAACGGCGCACTTGTCAGTGCAAACAGGCTGTGGCTAGCTGCCCAACAGTTTAAATCAACATCTCCCATGTATCTGTGCTCCCATGTGCCTACACTCCTTGTTAGAGCCTGTTTATCCTGCTTTGCTCCTCCCAGATGTGTGATAATTCAGACCGTCTCTCTCTCTCTCTAGGCAGCGTTGAGTTGAGGTAGATTGCACGTTTTTTTTTCTGTTTGATTCTCCGGCCCTTCGCTGAGATTTCTCATTTTCATTTGTGCTGTGTTGGGAAATAAGTAATTCGTACTGACAAACAGCTGATTGGTTCAGAAAGCAGGAATTTCTAAAAGTGGATCTGTGAAAAATAAAAAAAAATGTACATAAGACTCCTTCATTGCTTTAGTCCACAACAATGATGAGTCATGGTAACAGGCACAGGTTAGGAACACAGTCGGAGTCTAAAACAGAGCGGCACCTCTCTACACAGAGCTCTCATCAGGTCTGGGCAGCAGCAGAGTGTGTTTCCTCTTCTCTAAAATCTTATTGAGCTCATCTGCAAAGGGGTAGCAGAGCGGGGATGTGTTTTCCGAGTCGCTCTGCCGCAGCAACACGTAGCTGTTCCCGTTCATCCGCCTCAAAACGCTGGGCAATGTCGCTGACAGCCCGTTGGGAAAGTCACACTCCGGGGGGGAAAACTGTGGGGTGGGAGGGAGAGGGGGCGCTGGGGGCGGAGGCTCTTTATTGAGGGAGGTCTGACCCTCACCGGGGACGATATACAGGAGGCCTTCATCTGGAGCATCGGCGTTTTGGCGCTTTGAAACTCCATTATAGAAGCCGTTGCCGTTGCAGTGACTGGAGATGGTCTTTAGCTCCGTTGAAGAAGAGTTCCTATGGTGCTTTCTGTTCTTCTTGCTGCTTGGGTGGGCTGCAGCGGCGGCGCGCAGCGAGTACTTGCCTCGCTGTCCGACTCGCAAGCAGAAGCCCAAGTAAGCCAGGACCACGCCGAGCACCACGCACAGAGCGCCCAGGATGGTGATGAGGGACAGATAGACCACCTCCATGTTCTTAGGCGACAGCAGGGGGAGTGGGGAGTGGGGGTCCTTGGAGGAGGAGTTCTCAGATGAAGAATGAGTGGACAGTGCTGGCAGCGTTACAACGGGGCTGTGGGTCGGCTCAGCCGGCGGCAGGGTTGGATCGAGTTCGATGGTTACATTGTAGGTGACAACAGCCACCTTGATGTTGTTCTCTATGGCGTGACAGGCGTACAAGCCGCTCTGGTCCTGCTGGGCCTTGATGATCAGCAGTCCATCCGTCCCGGTTCGGAAGCCCGAGTTGAGATCGTAGCCCTGCACCTCGGTACCGTTCAGCATCCACAGAGGCGTCGCCAGGTTGGAACTGAGCTCGCACTGCAGCAGGACGTCATTGCCAACCCGCACAGAGCGGCTCCGCTGGACAACATCTGAAACATAAACTAATTACTTAACATCTATAGGACTTATCATGGCAAGAGGTCCAATTAGAAACAATTTCACTGCTGCCATCATATTACCTCATTGAGGGAGAGAGAGAAGGAGAAGATGGTTACATTTCAGCAGATTGAAACTGATAAGTGGGGAGAAGGCATTTGCCTGCCTTGAATATCAAACACATTTCTCTCCAGAGAAGGCAAAGACGTTATTAAAGAAGGGAGGAGAGCTTTTTGCCAACACCATCCATATAATCAACCTTCAAAGAGGCCTTCACACCATCCGATGACAACTTTGCATCTTTTGAGCTTTAAATTAGCTATTTTTAATCTCCTTTCTACGTGTCAAAGCAAACTTTTTTCAAAGCAGCACGATCAAGCTTCAGATGAGATTTCGACTTACTGTATTGTGTTTTCTCACAGCCAGTTCTGCCTTGGTGGATGTCTTGGATTAAAGTGGATCTGTGAAAAGAAGAAAAAGAGTGAGCGCGTTAATGCACAGAGTAAAGATGATGATTTATTTATATCTCTAGTATCGTTCACAGCTACTGACAAAGCATCTCTGTTACATTAATCGGTACGCTTAAATCTGCACAACATGTTTACTATTACAGCAGGGTTGTGTTTCTGCCAGCAGCCTGGTTACGCAACAGTTCTGAGTGTTGACAGAGTGACAGGGCGTGGCGGTTCTTCAGGTAACTCAGGTCAACACAATAACACTACACCAACAAACACTTCATTCAACTGATCCGATCGCACACAGGTTTCCACTGTCACCTGTTCGCCTGCGTCATCACGTCCACGCACTCAGCTCCGTCCCAGGCGCAGTCAGGATCTCTGGCGAAGATGCATTCGTAGCAGGAAGCGTACCTGCGGCAGTTGGAGAGCGGCAGCTGAATCACACCTGACTCAGAGCTGGCGTACACACTCATCTGGTGGAGAAAGACGATTTCATTAAAGCAGGGCGACAATGAAGCACGGGCGGAGCTAGACTATTTTGCAAGGGGTGGCACAGGGGTGGCCAAGGTGTTTTTAAGGGGGACCACATTTGAAAATTCAAAATGGCCACCACAGCTAATTCCTAATTACTTTAATTTATCTGTTTTTAGCGCTGCAGTTAACAATTATTTTAGTAATCGATTAATCAATTGATTATTCTGGCAATTAATCAAATAATCGGATATAAAAGAAATTGTCATGTTCTGCAGTAATTACTTAAGCTTATTTTATGAGAAATACAATTATTTAATATTGTGAAGGTTAATCTACACTTGTTGATGATCCTGCTGCGATCAAAGTAAAATTACAATACCAGTTGTATTAATTCATGCATTTTAAGCTCCAGCTACTTGTATTTATGTATGTGAGGTTTGAGGAGGCATTAATTAAAAGTACTCTGTCACTGAACCATTTTTAACCATCATAGAAAAATCTAAATGCTGTAAATTTATTGTTATGGATTGGAAAACTGAATACTTTGTTTTTAGTTTTTTATTATTATTATTATTATTATTATTTTTTTTTTTTTTTTTTGGTTAGAATTTTAATAAGTAAAATGGGTAATACATATAAACATTTGGGTGCTGCAATTGAGTTTTGTAGAGTTCACTTGTTAATTGTAACAAAAAATTCATATATTTTTAAGATTGTTATTAGATTGGTGCAGGGTTCCCCTTTAAAGATTTAGTCTTGACTGCTTAGCTACAAACAAATAGGACAGTAGTAATGAAGGCTAAAGTCATAAAAAGCAGCAACAAATAATTAAAAAAAATCCAACTAGCCTCTATTAATACTTTAAATCTTGAAATATGCTTTTATCTTAATTTAAATGAGATACTTGGACTGAATATCAACAAATAACCTGTTTCAGCTCAAGCTGTCAATCTGTTGCTGTGCTTTTATTTTTATCTGACAAATTTACAGTAAGTCTTGTTTTTACTCACACAACGTACACACTGTTTAATAAAACCCTGCCAGGTCACCATGATTAGTCAGCACAAATAACGTTAGCCAAAATATACCTCCTCCTTGTAACTGATAGCGGAAGTGCTAACGTCGTAGTATAACACAAATAACATTCCGGGCAGACAAAAGTGCGCTGATTTTATATATATGTATTTTTTATGAAGCTTCGAGGCAGATAATTTGCCTCGAGGATTTTTTGTAATCGAATTACTCAAATTATTTGAGAAATCATTTCAACCCTATCTGTTTTAAGAAATACTGAGCTGAAGTTTCATCCGATTGTAGCTAAGAATGAGCCAAAAAAACATGCTGAATGCAAGTCGCAACATTAATTAGCCATTTTTAGACAGAATTAGAAATTAGAAAACAATATATGCCATATTCTAAATGCTAATCAAAAATTCAAGAAGACCACCACAGCTAATTTTAAAAGCCTATAATTCAGCCATTTTAAGACTTATTGAGGGGAAATTTGTTGTGAAGCAGCTAAGAATGATCACATGTCCATTGCCGATGCTAAGCCCAAATTGAGCTAACCACTAATGCTAATGCTAACTTTAAAAAGGAATTAAATCTAGCCATGTTTAAACATACACATCTGATTTTTTTATAGTACAGTAGTATCAGAGAACAATCTTTAACACAATCTAAATATAAATACAAAATCCAAGATACCCATCCACTTGGCACCCAGGCCACCCCTCTAGCTCCGCCCCTGCAATGAAGCTTTAAACGTGAGCATCACAGACCGTCAGACTACCTGCTTCGTAGACAGCAGAAGACTGAGCACAGGCTGCGGCTCCTCAAACAGCTGAACCTCTTCAATAATGTGCAGCTGCCCTTTAATGTTGACAGCTTTGTGTAACCAGCCTTCATCTGGGCGACAAAACACAAACACGGTGAGAAAAAAATAGAATGTAAATATTATACATGCAAGAAATTTAGTACAAAATCTGTTGATTCCCTCTCACCTGTGCCCATGTATAAAACATGGTACGTTTGCTCATCTAAGCCCTGGACTGTGCGCACAGCCATTTGTGTGTAGTCTGTTGTCCTCATGAACAAGAGGGGGCGTCTGTCTACAGGCTGGATCTCGTTGGACATCAGAGGATGCCGTCGGACAAAATCCAGCACGTCATCAGGCAGGGAGGTGGAGATGTTTATGCCCTTGGCCTTGAGGGCATCAGTAATACACTGTAGTAAAAGAAAAAGTGATATTTGGAGGACTTGAAGAGAATGATGAGCTAATTATTTGGTAATAAACAAATACAACCCAACAATAGGGAGATGCTTCAAAAATTAGTGGGGCGGATGGAAAGTTTCAGAGATTGTGAGGAAAAAATACAAACATTTGGGGAAAATGTGACTTTTCATTGATTACAGTGTGTTTGAGCTCATTACCTTCTCTATTTGTTCTTCTCAAATGACTTAAACTAACTCCTCTAAGAGGTTTTTACACTCCTCACAACAAATCCATAACTATGTGTCTTTATTTTTTAAAAGCAAAGTTACAATAAGTCCTGAAAAGTGCTAAAGTGACGTCTGCCACATAAAACAAATCCTGGCCTTTTTAAGGCTGCAGCTCTGAAGCACCGAGTTTAAAACAACTGTTATAAAAATGGCTTTCAGATGTGTTTTCAGCTTTATCCTTGAAGCTGACACTCAACTTTCCTCTTTTTTCATCCCTTTTTTTCCACCTCCTTTTACTTGTCTTTACTGAGAAATAGCTTCATATGCTCTTTTACCACTGTTTGAATGCAGAAGAGCGTTGTGTGTTTGGTAGACTCAGGGGGGCACCGCTGCTCGTGAGTGAGAGAGCGTGCTTACTGTTCCAGGTCTTGGATTGGGGATCTTCCCGACATATTCCCTCCAGCTGGAGTCCTGGTTCTCCATGTAGGGTCCTTGAAAGGCCGTTTGGACTTCAGGCAGAGAGAACCGACACACTGCAGACGCCTTCACGTTTTTCCTTTGGAGCGCCAAGCAGCGCAGTGAGAAAGACCAGAGCACAAGTTACAAACAATAACACTGGTAAACCTGTGGTTCTCATAGCGACAGAAGTAAAAAGGTAAAGTGGAGCAGTGGCTCACCTAGTAAAAAAACGATAGAGAGACTAATGGAAAAAGTGTGTGTGTGTGTGTGTGTGTGTGTGTGTGTGTGTGTGTGTGTGTGTGTGTGTGTGTGTGTGTGTGTGTGTGTGTGTTGGGTCACTATTAGAGACTGTGAAGCTGATTAGAAACCATACATGTCTGAGAAGAAGAACAGGGAGGGAAGGAGGAACAAAAATATGTCAAAGTGGAGGTTAGCGACAGAAAAGTGTCTGTGTCAGCAAAATATTTAGGAGACAATAGATTTAAATAAAACTGAAAGTAATTACTGGATGTGTATCTACAATTCATTAACTTTTGGAGTCAACCTAGGTGAGGTAGGGGCAATTGATGGCTTGAGGGCCACATCCGGCCCGTGGGTGACTTTTGTCTGGCTCGCTAAAGAGCACCCCCCCAAACACACACAAAAATAAAATAAAATAAAAATAAATAAAATTACAAACGAATTAATACATTTTTGCAAGTTTTTTTAACTTAATAAAAGCACTCAAAGCAGCTCTTAGAACCTAAGAACCATTTAGAGTGCTTCTTTTGTGTGAAAATTAAAATATATATATTAATATTATTTTTTGTGTTTTGGGAGGTAGACTACAGCCTCATTCACAACAGCCACACAGACCAGTTCATCTTTAAGCTTCCTCTGGCCATTCATAAATCACAGGTGAGGTTAACGCTCACATGTACGCACTCAGAAATGAACCCGACAGTGCGGATCCAGAAGAGGCATGGAACTCAGCTGGACTGTGCTGTCTTGTGAAAGAAGCTTATCTGTTCACAGAATTTCATAGCAAACATATTTGTTCAGTCTCCTATAAAGGATTTTAATACAAGTCACCACAACAACACGCTACACAAAGCTAGATTTGAGTATACTGAAGTTGCAAACAAACAACAACTGTGACCTTTGTACCAGAACCACAACCACACACTCAAAGTGTCTTTGGCCATTGCTCTTCAGATTGCTTTAAATGTTATCCATATTTATTAAACAAGAGTAAAACTGTGATACTTGAGTATGAAACGTGCAGCGCTATGTGACCCTCTGGTAGTGTCAACAAACAATCGCAGCCCCTTCCAGCATTTAAGTTGCCCACCTGACCTAGGTCAACCCATTTCCAAATGTTCACCACAGACAACATGCTGTTTGAAACACAAAAATGGTTATTAACACAGCCAGTTTTTCAGATATTGAGCTAAAATCTGGTGTGGTAGTAGCCGAGCCTCCTCAACACTAGTGTCTCACAAGGAAGACACGAGGTCATACATGACATCATTTACAAGATTTGATCAAAACGACCACAACTCCACCTCTTCCCCCTCATACGATGGTCCTAAATCTGTGGCATAAAAGGCGGTGGGTAATATGCAATCCTGTAGGTTAATTTCACATAAAATGTCTATACAGCTGTTTTAATTTGTGAACTACAGCGACACTGATGAAGCTTGATAATCAACACACTTCTCTGTTATTGACAACATCAGTGTTTGCTGCCTGCGGACAGTGTGAGAGCTGAGGTGAGTTGAGCACAACAAACCTTCCCTACTGCTGCTGCTTTGTTTTAAAGGCATTAAACTGGCAGCACAGTGAGTGGGTTTCACTGGGTACGAGCCACTTGAAACAAAATGCTTCTTTCTGGCATTCGCTAACCACGATTGTTCATCAAGAGCAAGAACAACAAAACAGAATATTTTTTGTTTTTATTATTCTGGTAGCAGTAAGAGATAATTTTAGATCAATGTATGTAACTCCCCACTCAAAATCACTTCTCTTACTAAAACCAATCACGCACATATTTGCAAAGTGTTTCAGATCTGAGGAGCAGCGCTGACAGCGAGCCCTATCTGGTGTGAAGAGCATGCATCAGGAGCAGACTTCTTGCAGCTTTAATTATTTAAAGTCATTTAAGTGGCAGCCTCTGCCGATACTTATTATTGACCTCATTCTTTAATAAAACATGAGCAGTGTAAACCGTAACAGTAGCTCCTCTTGAGAGGAGATAACTGTTAAATAAGTGCCTCCTCTAACATCAAACCGCCTGCTGTTGCGACAGAAATCTCAGATTTCACAGCATTAGCAAGGGAAATCCTGACTGCGGCAGTTTAAACTTTAAATCTGCCTTCCTGATGAACCTTTCTTTCCTAAACTTTAACTTACCAAATTACTTGGAAATGAAGTTCTTTGAGCTGTGCTTCACCTCTTCCTTTCATCCTGTCCCCTCCTGACTTCTCCGACAGCCTCGCTGAATCGATAGCTGCTTTTTTATCTCAGTCTCGCTCATCTACATCTGCAATCTCAAAGCCCCCCCTGTAACCCCAAAAAGAGCTTGAACAGACACTAAATCCCCACTCACCACTCCAGGCCGAAGATGCCATAGAAGAGCGTGTCCTTCGGGGTGAGGCCGTGCATAACGAACACGCTGCGCAGCATGTTAAAGTGGAAGTCGTACTCGGGCAGCGAGCAGGTCAGCCTGGATTTGAGGAAGGACGTCCAACGTTTCTGCAGGGTTAAAAGGCCTCCCCTGTCTCCCTAAATATAGAAACAAAGAAACGTAGATGAATACAGAATTATGAGGAAAAGATGTTAGAAAATTACAGGCCTCTAAATCCGCTGCCATTTACACCAGACTTTTATTCTAACATCAAATTATGTCAGTGGTCTGCAACCTGGGGCCACATCTGGCTTTTTGGTCCCACTGCAGTGGCTTTTTGAAGCTTTGACCAAATCTAACATGAGAATAAATTGTTTGGTTTTTATACTCACAACAGAAAAGGCTAACTTTAGCAAATATGTGATCAATACTACCAATCCACTCAAAAATGATTTGTTGAATTTATTAAACAAGTTATGTCAAGTGGTTCCACTCAGCCGAGTTGAGTAAATGTAATGTGACTTACACAAGTACTTCTTGTTCCATTTACTCATTTGTGTGGAACCACTTGACATAACTTGTTTAGGTAAAATTCAACAAATCATTTTTTGAGTGTACAAAGAGTAAAATATGTCGATCAGCTCATGCTAGAAGCCTGTTGGTCACTCCAGTTATTGAACTTTCAACCTTAAAGTAGGAGCTTCCCCTCAAATCCATCAGGGCTACCTTTAAAGACCTTCAAGAATAGACTAGACTAGAATATATA